AAAGGTGGCTGCGATGCTGGCTCGGATGCCAGAGCTGAGGGAGGAGGCACAAGCATGGTACCTTGACCTGGGCAGCGCATGATAATGCCCGCAAAACCCCAAAGGCACAAAAGCGTGGTGGTGGGCGACATCCTGGAGCCATCCTCTCCTCTGAGCCCCCCTGCTGGGCACTGCAGCTGTGTCACAGCTGTAACACAGGGGTGCTGGCATCCTGACCACAGCTCCAAGGTCTCTTCACTGACTGCCTTGTTCAGTGCTGCTAAAAGAAACTTTTTTTTTTTTTTTTTTAGGTTTGCAAGCTGGCCTGTCTCCTGCCGAAAGGTGCCTTGGCCCTTCGAGTGGTGGCAGTGGCATGGAGAAGCTGAGCCAAGTGGTGTGCCCACCGTCCTTTCATGGGGAGGAGGAAATGGCACCAAAGCCTCTGTGAGATGAAATGGCTGAAACAGTTGTATTTGAGATCACTGCCATTTCATGGGACATCTCCTGTTGCTAAAGGAGCGACACCTGCCTCCACGCTTTCGGAGGGCTTGCGGACTGCTGAGATTTGCGTTGCAAAGAGACGACGCGTGAGAAGGGAGGGCAGCCTTGGTGTGGCTGGTTTCTTCCACCATCATCCAGACAATATAGTGACGCACATGGGTAAAGACCCTTGTTTACAGCTGCAACAGCTTTTGGGACTGTTGCTCACTGGCACTCCCGCCATCAATCCGTCACTGACTTCATGGAAATCCCTGCCAGACCAAAAGACAACACATCATATCCCCACCCCTTCCTGTCTGCCTTCCTCGCACCTCTACAGATACACGTCATGTCCTCGCACCGTCTCGTGTCGATGGGAGGAAAATGATAAAATTAGCCCCTTCCAGCAGCGCGTGCTAAAAATAATAAGCAGCATACGAGACATTGTTTTTCAGATGGCTTAAAAAACACATCCCGCCGGGGGAGAAGGGAGGAAGGAGGTGTTGTCTGTTGTCTAGCAATTTGTTTAGGAAATACCTCTGGTGCATCCAGGCTCAGGTGCAAGGGCGTTGCGCTGGCTGAGGGCGCCGGACTGGTTTTCGGCTGGGCGAGCACAGCGCCCTGCGGCGGCACTGGTTTCTCTGGCAGGTGCCCAGGGGCCGTGGTTAATGGAGACTGCCGGTGCGGCAACACCGGCGGTTTGCTTCGGCAGGTGGGTTTGTTTTGGGTTTTTTTGATATCAGGTGTTTGCAGGTGAGTCAGGTGCCTTCAGACAGGGATGCCGTGCCCCAGCGATGGGATTTTTTCTTCCCCTACCCTGTAGGGAGGAGCAGGTCACGAGCATCGTGCTCTGGCGGGGACCTGGCTGGAGAGGGGCCAGGCTCTGGTGGGCAGCGGGTGAGGGTGTCTGGATGTTCTCACAAGGCTGATGAGTCTCACGAGTGTAATTTGCTGGTGGAGCTGCGCAAAAATGCACCGTGCAGCACCTGTGGTAGCACTTGGCACCAGGCTGATGGGCCTTCTCAGGACCACATCACCAATGCTCCCTGAAACAAAGCTCTTCCAAGCCTCTGCTCGTGGCTAACTGGGAAAGCACAGAGAATTACTTCCCTTTTGGTTTGTTTCATTTACTAGAAACCAGAGCCTTTGGCTAGGAAGCTCTTTGTCCTCCTCGTGCTGGGAACACATGCCTGAGGTGTGGTGCTCCCTGCCCATGAAGCTGGGAAGAAGCAGCAGGGTGAGTCAGGGGAAAGCCTGCTGATGTGTGCAGTGCAGCAGGTGAGGATCTTGGGCTCTCCCCTCCACGGACACATCTTTGGGTCCCAGCTTTAGGGAGGAAGAATAAGCTCTCCACTATTCCTTTGCTATTCCCCCTTTTCCCAAACTCGAGCTTCAAACTTTGGAGAAAGTAAAAATCTGACTTTGGCAAAATGCTGTATTGCTTCCTGCCTGTGTTCCAGACAAAACCCTTAACTCAGGTGTCTGTCCTTCACTAAAAACCCGGGAGTCTCTTCCTCCAAGCTGCAACATCTGGTAGAGGTAATGGAGCCCCTGACATCACTCAACTATTCTGCGGGCAGTAGTTACTAGAAAATAGTGGAATAGGTATCTCAGTTTCCCATTTTGAAGTTCAAGGATATGGTTATGTCTTGTTCCTCTTAAAGGCAGAAGTAAAACCCTCATCTCCCAGTGCATACCTACTGGCACTCTGCTGTTGCCCTAGTGTGTGCCTGCTGCCTTGGAAGTATGGAAGGAATTCATATAATGCAATCTGCAAAAAAAAACCCCACCCTGAGTTATAACAAAACCGACTCATTTTTGTTGCAAATGCTTCGTATTTATTATCTTAGCAAGAATTCAAGACATACATGCATGGGGACTACAGCAAAACATTTGGCCTGTAGCCAGAACAGGTCTTAAGAAAAACAAACTCGTATTGATACAGTCATACAGCAGTTCCTTTCCAGAGGTAACAAAAGGAATCCTAGGGAGGACATCAGCAAGCGCTTGCTCATATGCTGGCACTGACCACTTGGACCCAGGTCTTTTTCCTGAGCTTCTGGTGAATGCTAGCACTCTTGACAATACTCAGAGAAACATAAAAATGCTTCATAGAAAGTAAATAGCCTAGACAGAAAAATAACTGTGCTAATACTTAATGCAGATATCCCCATAATACTTAACTCAGATATCCCCATGACAATGCATTTATTGAGATACTTTTTTTCATAACAGTCGCATGTGCTACAGCCTGAAGAACTGGGCAGGCTCTATGAAGCCCACACCTATTGAATTTCCAAGCAGCATACATGGAGCAGAACACTTTTACTCAAATACATTTCAGTTACTAATCTGAATACTCATGGTGAATTTTCCTGAGAGTCCCAGACAGGCACGGTCATTGTTTAGCATCCCTAATGAAGACTCCAGGACTCCACCAAGCCCAGGACACAGAGCAGGAGCCCTTCCATTGAAGTCGGGGCTGTCTTTGACGAACAGCTTTGCCGAATTGGACACAGCGTTAGCCTGGGAGCAGGTGTTTAGCTCCAACAGAAACTCTTTGCGTTTACTTTTTAATACCAGAAAAAACGACCTCTGTACATGTCAGCAAAACACGTTACTTTGCAGTACTAAGAGGAATAACAACTGTTACTGAAACACTATGTTCTCGCTGAAAAGGTATGAGATGGCTTAGAGGAGGAGGGAACCGTGTGTGTGGCTTAAGCCAGTGGCAAAGCTGTCAGTAACACCGCTGGGACGGACTACCTCCCCCGTGAGGAAAGCAGGCGAAGTCAGTCAGCTTCTGCTTACTGAAATCAGTGACAGCAAGTGACAGCCATACACAGTGGGTTGTGACCGAGTGACCAGAGCTACGTAATGACAATTTTGCAAAGGCAGCTTCAGAAGAGCTAGCTGAAAAATTAAATATAAATAAAACCAAGAATTCACTACAAGGCAGGAAAAAGCATAATTTGAACAGACCCAGAATTCAGAACGTGCGACTATACAGCCTTATACAATGCAAATGTGCTTGCAAGCAAGGTTAGTTAAGAGAAGGAACTCTGACCATTGACCTAAGAGGCAGCTACAAAACATGATTTTCTTGCTAGCTTGCACCCATGAAAAAATACTGTTTAGGATCATGTCTGGCATGAATCGACTACCAGAGCTACTGTTTGCCTTCACAGCGATCAGCATGCTAAAGCCAGCTCCTCTGAAGCCAGCCAAAGGTAATAACACCTCAGTGAGATAAGCGTAATGCATCACCACCCACTGGATGTGCTACAGTGGCCTCACCATTCCGGAACCGAAATGAGATTGCCATGAAACAAAGGGGAAATAAAGTACAAGGGAAGAACCTTCACTTGTAAGTATCATTAAACATTCAGAAATCCAAGGCTACTTTCCTGTACTGACTGTAACATTAAATTTTATAAATATTATTTCTTCAAAGAGAGGTAGTTGCTTTCTTTGAATAAATAACATTCTCAAGAAAACTTGAGATTCAACTTCAAAATCTACTTCTATTGAAGAGTTATTTTGTTACTTATAAAGACACAGTAGTATTGTCCTGCTCTCAAGAAATTCTTTGTAATATTGAAAGAATCCTTCCACCACACATACCTCAATAGCTGTATTTGTGTAACATATATTCATATATATGTCTTATATAATGCTACACTAAAGTATGCTCCCCTCTCTGATGCATGATGTATTTCCTCTATTATCAGAAAACATTATGCTTTCTTTTAGTTAATATAATGCACATTTATGTCATGTTTTGAACATTTTTTCATACTATTTTTTGAGTCTAACAAGTAGCAGTCAATTAATAGTTCTGTGAAATACTCATTTCATACATATGGGGTGCACATATTTATATTTTTTATATATATTATATATATACACAAATATATACATATATATATAATATAGACTAGAACTATGCAACATCATGTTAATTCATAGAATTGTAATTTTTAGTCCACAAATTAACATCCTGTAACAAATAACCTTTCAATAAAGATAGTGGTTTACTTAACAAATGAAATAATCCCACCACCAGGTCCCTGTCCAGCAGAATCCGTGCTTTAGGAAAGAAGAGCAGTCAGAAACCGAGCAACTGGCCTTGTGATACACGTTCCCAAGTTCCAAGACACTGCCATTTTATTTGGCTTCATCCCGAAGGTGATCCGAGTTCCTCGGTGAAACGTAGCTGTGGGACGTGAGGACCAGAGGGCAAATGGGGAAACAAGGCTCCTGGAATTCTTCTCAGACCAGGCTGAAGGACAAGTTTCATCTTGTGCCAAGTCTCCCCATCGCTATCTGTTTTTTTCCACCTGGCATTCATACGCCAATACTGCTGTAACGTTCTTCAAAGAAATCAAGTTGCGACAGCTATTCTCCAGCGGCCGCAGGCAGCAAAATGCAACGCAAAGAGCTTTCTTCATCTCCCAGTGTCAGTGAAGTCTCTTGTTCCAAATCCACAAAGCCAAGGTCTTGCCCTGCTGTCCCCTGCACCGTGTCCACGGGGGGCTCACGTTGCCGGGCAGAAGAGTTTTGTGAGGAGGTTCAGGATCTTCTGCCGCAGGTCCCACTTGTCGCCGATCCTGCGCAGCTGCATGGCGCACTCCGCCACCACCTCC